CAACTATTCTACTACTACTATCTACAATTTGTTTTCCTTTATCCATTACGTATAAATCCACTTAGTCTTAGTAAATCTACTAAGCTCTTTAATTTTACCTAAATCTAATTTTTCTCGTTTATTTATTATATTATCTAAATCTTGTCTAGTATCTATTAACTTTCATTTTTCTAATACTTTAACTCTACTTTCTAATTTTTCTAACTTAGGGACTGTTATCTATTTCTTCTATGTTATTAAATTTTCTTTTTAATTTTTCAGTGTTTTGGTTTTTAATATATTTTAAATTACTTTCTAAAATCTTTATATTTTCTAATAAAGTTTCTACCTTTTTATTTGAATTGTTCTTTTCTAAGTTTTCTCCTGAATTTACAATACTATTTAACTATTTATTTTTAGAATGTAAAAGACGTTTAAACTTTTTATCAAAGTTACAAACTAAGGAAGTTGTGTCTAGACTATCTTTTCTTTTAAAATTTTCTAGAATATCTAGATTTAGATAATCTATTCTTTTCATAGACAAATTACTTTGGACTAAGAAACCAATTAGAATTTTTATAAAAAATCTTCTCTCTTAAAAATGGAATCTTTGTATTTTTATTATTATTTTCTTGTTTTACAATCTTTAGGATTTTTTTATCAAGAAACTCCGACACTAAGAGATAGATAGCTTAGTGATTTGCTTATTGATTTGTAAAGATGAGTCACCTCTATTTCTATCTAATACGGATAATATATGACTTTCTAAAATAACTAATCTACCAATTTCTCGATTTTCTGGACAGATATTTATAAATTCTTTAAAACTTTATACTGAACACCAAGACAAAGTAGATGAAGTATAATTATCTAATGGCATAAAATATAGGAAATTAAAAACAATATGTTTGTGATGACCTTAGAGTACTTTACCGTTTAGCAAATTAATTTTCATTGATTTTTTTTAACTCTCTCTCAACTTTTTGCTTGACCTTCTAAAATGGCTTAATGCTGTAACCAAAAAAGATTTTCATCATTTTTAAAAGGCTCCTTAATCAGTAAAATAGTCGACTTAACTTAAATGATTACTTTATTTTTTGGCCATGGAATCCAGAATAAAGAAGCTAAGAGCGCTAGGACTATATTTGAAAATAAAATATAATTTTTGAATAAATTAATCGCTTACTTGGTATTCCCTCTTTTAGGTCTTGCCCAAAAATAAATAAAGTAAACAAAAATTATAAATAAAAGAAACTGTGAAAATGACTTACTTTATTTCTGAAATCTTTGAATTTATAAAGATGTCTTTGAATTTTGAGTACAAGTGTTATAGCGTGCTTTGTTTTTGTTTCTCGATGTGTGTTTCTTTGTGAATGGTGTTGGTACTTATAGATGTTGGTACTTCACGTCTATTTTTTTTTCATTCTGTACAACTTTACAGATGTGTGATTTACAATTAAAGAAAAAGTACTGTATAACTTTACAGGTATGTGATTTACAATTAAGGCCCTATTTGACACTCATTAAAATTCTCATTCTCATTCTTCTACTCATTTTCAACCACACATTCTTCAATAAAATAATATTTTTCATCACATCAATAACTTTTCCTTCTTTTTCAACTATACATTTTTCATTATCTACTATTCCAAAATATATTCTTC